GCATAAATCACCATAAATTTTGCAAAGTAAATGTATAATTTCCATTTAACAGTCATTCTTTAAAAGCAACCTAGTTGTTTAGTGAGAAATTTTCTCGTCAAGACTTGTAAGTGCCCGAACGCAAGAACCACGCATACTTCAAGGCTGAATTTGAAATACTTAAGTTGTACTTGGACAGAGAATATTCTCCCAAAATTTCAGTTTTCCAGCTTTTCTGGTTACCGAGTTAGCAATTTTCCCCCTAAAACTTTTGTGCTCCCTTACGTAAGTGCCACGCATAACGGGGCTGAATTTGAAATCTCTGGTAACCCCACAAGGCTTCAGCCTCTTAGCTCATTTGGTTCCCGAGATCGCTTTTCCGCCAAAAAACTTGCATATTTTTTTTAAAGCGTTCGTACGCGACACCCAGGCGTCCGAGAGGGATGAAATTAAAAAGGGAGGGTCACGTGTGGTATGGGCACATACTCCCAAAGTTTCAGCTTTCTATCTTTTCTGGTTCTCGATTTAAAAGTGGGTGACAAAAAGTGCGAACACACAGACGCACAGACACACACGCACACAGACACACAGACAGCCTCTTTTTGCAATTCGCATATATGCAAAAGCGCAAAAAAGGGCACAGCACAACTTCGTTGTTCCCTTGGTTTGTCTAGTTATCAGATTAAAAGTCGCTAATAATAAGGACTATTTCAAGGCAAATGAAAGGTCATTTGTGTCTCAGTAATGATTCACAAGCACAGCCTGCGACCCCAGAATATTTTTGAACAAATATCAACTAATAATTTCATTATTTATGAAGAACACGCAAATAGGGTCGTCACCAAACGTTCCAAAAAATCAAAATGGCACCTCATCGCCAGCACCACGCAGTGTCGTTTCAGCTGTTTCCATAACGGTGGCCTTTAGCTTTTCACTTCCACTTTTTAAATTCTGTGCTAGCGTGCTGAAGGCGCTCTTCGACCTCTGTACAAAATTTTGTGCACTGTCCACTTTTTTACTGAGTTCTGTAAATTACCACGACTGAGATTCAAGAACATTTCATTAACAAGTGGAATAAAAACAAGAAAAAAAAAAACAAAGTAAGGAAATGAGCCTGAAAATAAATGAGACCCTCGCGAAATAAATGACGCTCTCGAAGTAAGGAAGTAGACTTGGAAATGAACGCACTAAAGACGGTGGTGTAAAATGCTGGTGTGTTCACGACCAGAATGTATATAGCTGGTTTTAACTTGGGAGAAGTTATCAGTTACATTTGGCTTGGCCAGAAAGTGACAATGAAAAACAATCTCCAGCAGGAAATTGCATGTAGAAGAGCTACCGAATGGCGAAAGACCCACAACATCGCCGGCGTCCTCAAAGGGCTGTGCTCACCTTTTCAATGCCAATCTCCTGAAAGTAGAAGTGAAGTGCTAATGCGAAATGTGATCAGTAATGAAAATTGGCGAGCGAGCGCGGTCTGTGCTGGGAAAAGAGATATGGCTAGAGATGCTTGGCGTGTCTCTTTGAGACATATAAAAGATCAGACTCTCCGGCAAATAAGCAAAGTGCAGGATGTCACTGACTACATGAGAAAGTGAAGTCTGAGCAGGGCGTGTTGCTCGTCCTGCTGATAAATTGTGCATGTTGCGGATAGTGGAGAGTACTCGCGAGAAAAAAAAAAAGCAGGCGCATAGCTTCTGAAGAGGTGGAATACATATATCAAGCAAAAAGTGGGTAATAACTGGAAGTACATAGCCCAAAATCGAAAGATAGTTATTCTCAGAATGTGGGAACATTCCCACTGCATCATTAACACAGAGTCCTCAGACTGTTCGCGGAGTCGTAATATTCTTACAATACTGATTTTCTGGGATGACGAAATTTTGAATTTATTTTGAGAAGTGGTTACTTTTCCCTATTATCTAGGTTTTACTAGTGTACATTCGAAAATTAAACTGGTGAAACGTACGCTCTGTAATACTCATAGTTTCTTGCACTTGAATGCCTGCTGTATAAGAATCAATCCTACACAATATTATGAAAATTTTTTCCCCCAAGTTTTAGAACAACTGCAAAGAAAATAAGAAAGTGGTATAAAGCGTATTAAAGCAAATTATTCTAATTTTGTCTAGCTTTAATCGGACTGTTTCATTTCGATTTGTACCCCTTTGTGTACTTAAGATTACCCAGTCGTGTACTATGGCATCTAATCAAACACATAAGTACGGTCCAAAGAAAAATGTTGAAAGGAAAAAACGCTGTGAAAACATACATTCAGACCAATTGCTTTTCATCTTTTAAAAACATCTGCAGCTTTGAGTTTTTATGGTTCTGGACCCATTTTGGTGAATAGTAGCAGTGCGAAACAGAAAGGAACACAAAAAACGACAACATTTTATTATTTTTTAAAAGGAAATTTGTCCATTCAATTCATTTGGCAGTACTAGCCTGACTACCTTCTAAACTTTTTCAGTACTAATTTTATAGATTTTAAATCAAGTGATATTGCGCAATTTTTTTTAAAGTAAGAGTGCTGCTTTCTACTTTTCTTGCGTACCTAAATGGAAAAAGCCCAACGTAAAAAGCAAGATTTGTACATGTACGTCGTTTGTTCTTTGCCTAGCCACGGAATTACCCAAGTTGCGCAAATGCGACTTTTTTGTGTCTTTACACATTCAGTCTGCAAAAACCTTAGAACAAGTCTCAGATCTCTCTTACCCTCACCATTAATTTCAAATCCAAATTCTGCCTTCAAAACGGGCATGAAATGTGCACTCATTCGCCAGTAGGATTGTTTCTCACTTGTGAAAGGATTCACTCATTACTCCAGGACAACATTTCCCCAGTACAGCACATTTATACTGCATCACTCGGTTCTCTCATTTATTCCTCGATCATGCCTAACGTTCTGAGAATCAATAACATGTAGAAATCTATCATACCCAAAAATTTCGTAATTTTAGCTATTATAATATAATTATGCGTTTTTTGCACTTATGCTGTGCAAAAAAACGCATATTGTCGGGGAGATATTTGTATGTATGCGTCCTAGTTTTTTGATATCGAGACTTGCTGTGTCGTAAAGCTAAAACTTTGGCAACTTAGTCTACATCTATGTAGAGAAACTCAAGGAATGAACGTTCAATGTCCTTCAAGCTCTCACTTACGGGAAACGTGGAAGTTTTTTTGGTGGGCAAGCTTTTCAGGAACCAGCCAAGTTAGGAAACTGGAATTTCATGAATATGTTCCTTGCTGCGTGTAAACCGAAGAATTTCAGGCTTCAACGCTCCTAGATCTTATGTACATACACGCTAGAGTTTAAATTGGTTCCGTGGTGATGCAGGAATTAAAATAGAAATCAGACTGCTAATGCGGGAAATTACACCGAAGTCGTAGAATGCTGTAATTTTACGATGGTCTTTGCTTCCCGCTGATTTGTTCACGAAATTGATTTCTCTCTGCATCTCACTTATGAACACGTGCATCTGACGTAACTCCCTAATCAAGGAAGTTAGCACGCCAAAATTTTCTGGACATGGCCCACAATGTGCTTGAATAGGCGCATGTAATAGCAATATTCACATTTTTTTGTTTTGTGCGAACAAGTGAAATTTGATGTAACTTCCAACCCAGTAGCGAGGGTGTTGAAATACATTGAGCTTGGCCCACGACTGTGTTTGGCAGGTGTACTTAAAAACAGCTTCAGTGTTCCTTCTAAATTTCGCATACTGACACGCAAAATTTGACACTTACAATTTTGTAACTACTTGAGCAGAGTAACTAGACTGCTGAAATCTTCTGAACATAACCAGCAATGGTGTTTATTGAAAATCCTTGTGATAACTGTGACAACTTGGGTGGCAGCCATCAATTTGTCTAGCTAAAAGTACCTCCTGGGAAAAAAGTGGTACTTAGCGGTAAACATCTGTACGAAAAACGTACGTTCGCACCGGAAAGACTGATGCCTCTCCACATAATCTTTCAGTTTCTGTATACGGAAGTTTACTGCTATACGGTAGTCGTCTGTGTTCAACTCCTCATATCTTTGGCTCAGTACCGTTGCAAAGACAGTCAGTGGGTGACCTGAAGATATTCCTAGTTCTAAAATAAAGTTGGCGCGGATAATGTGCGTATGTTATTAGACTCAATTTACTTACAGCCCCGCCTCTCGTGTGTTTATAGAAAATGCAAGTCCTAAGAACAGCTAGTTACTGCACCGTTACTCATGCCAAAAACGAGTGTCTCCTTTTCTCCTGGTGCTGTGCAAATTAGAATCTGGGATTGGACTTTATAATAGGTAGAAGCAAAAAGAGTAACAAACCAGCTAGCAAGTGGCCCGATTTTTGCTCAATGGACTGTTGTGTTTGTCGAAAGAAATGCTTCAAATTTTCTGCCCATTCACCGGTGAAAAACGATGCTGCATTGACACTTGTAGCTACAGCCACTATTAAGCTGAGTGAAAGCCGCATCTGAAAATTCTGTAAAAGTTACGGCAAAAATTTGACTCCCTTATCAAATAATTGACAATGTTGGCTTGCTGCTAGCCGTCTGAAGAACCAACTTCACGGAAACTAGGGGAGCTTTTCAGGTATAGTGGTGGCTTTTAAATCATGTTTAAACTTCTAATTCTTTGGTTAAATTTTTCGATTCACTGCATTAAAGCTGCAAAAAGGGCATCTAACTGATTTGTTTGATTTTACTCCTCACTCTTCAGTGGCCTAATTTGAAAGATGGGATTCATTTTGTGCGGTGTAACAGCGTTACAAAATGCATATTGTCACGGGTTTGTCTGTGTGTGTATTTTTGTATGTGTTTGTGTGTGTGTGTCCCACATTTTGACCCGCACTTTCAACTCGGGAATCACAAAAGCTAGGCGGCTGAGATTTTGGTATAATGTTCCCCGCCAATGGGTGACGCAGCAAATTTAAATTCAGCCTTCCCGTACCCGCGGGTAACTCGTACGGCCCCGTGAAA